GGGGGGGGGTTGGAGTTGAAAAGTAAGAGGTATTCATTCATGACATCAGTTAAAAAGTAGTCATTTCAGAGGCAGACAAGGAATGTTATGTGTATTAAGAAAGTAATACATTTTGGTACTGATTAAAGCAGTGGTTTTCAATCCTGTTCCTCGGGACCCACTGCTCTTCACATTTTGCATGTCTCCCTTATCTGACACACTCATTTGAGTTCATGGAGCTGATGATATTGTGAATGAGCTGATGATCTGAATCAGGTGTGCAAATTAGGGAGACATGCAAAATGTGCAAAGCAGTGGGTCCCCAGGAGCAAGTTTGAAAACCACTGGATTAAAGGGACTCAAAAATAAAGAAAAGTCCAAAAATATGTTCAGTTGTCTTGTTGGCAGTAATCCACCACACTTTGCTTCAGACAGAAAGAGTCAAAGGAAATATCCGAGAGAAACATTTGGATTAAAAAGCTTGTATATCTCTATAAAGGTACAGAGCGGGATCCTCGAGGGGATGTGCCTCAGGTACTATCAGCGGCCTCCATTAAATTTAAAACTTGATACTGATAAAACTGTTTTAGTAGCAGCTATTCTCTGCCAACTCAGAAATGCCACTGGAGCATGACTGTGCACTTCAGCTATTATTTTAGTCCCCACAGGAGACCGTCTGCCTGCATGGGATCTAAGGACCAGTAAATCTGATTTTTTTTATATCACACATTTTCACTTCATAAACAGCGCCATGCTCTTTGTTGTGACTGCTGTGATGTCTTCCTCAAGGTCAGATTTTAATGCTGATCATCAATGCACAGAATGAAAATGATTAAATTATGACATTTAGCATGTAAAATAAAATATAACTTTTTGCTTGTTTGTTTGTTTTGCAACAAATAAAATCACAAAAAAGTATTTATAATTAATTAATTATACATAAACTGCCATTCAAAGGACTTTTAAATGTTTTTGAAACAAGTCACTTGTGCTTACCAAGGCTGCATTTATTTGACCAAAAATACAGTAAAAAAAAAATAAATATTGTGAAATATTATTACAATTTAAAATAACTGTTTTCTATGCTAATATATTTTAAAATGTAATTGATTCCTTGATGGCAAAGACACATTTTCAGCAGGCATTGCTCCGGTCTTTAGTGTCACGTGATACTTCAGAAATCATTCTAATAAGCCGATTTGATGTTCAAGAAATATTTCTCATTAATGTTGAAAGCAGTTGTGCTGCTTAATGTTTTTGTGTAAACCGTGATACGTTTTTCCAGGATTCTTTGATGAAAAGAAAGAAGAACAACATTTATTTAAAACATAAATCTGTAGCATTATAAAAGTCTTTACTTTCACTTTTGATCAATTTAGTGCATCCTTGCTAAATAAAAGTATTATTTCTTTCTATAAACATACATTATTATAAATATACTGTTTATTTATTTTTTAATGCTTGGTTATTTTGCACATTTTAATTGATTAAAATTATATGTCATGATAAACTAGATTAAAATTTATGAATATAACTGACTATAAAATACTGACTAAATTAAACTACATTTTCATCAGAAGACAAAAACTATGACTAAATAAATTATCACAGGCTATCTTTCTTCTTGGCATTTTCTAATTACATTTCTTTCCCATGACAGATCTGCAGATCAATATTCGCTCTCGCTATAAGAAACAAATACTGTGGAATTTCAGACAAGAGGATGTGAATACAATTATATCCTCACTGTTATATAAATTTAAAATGTTCACATGTCTTATCAAGAAACAGTGACACTTAAAAGCCGTAAGACCCGTCTGGATCAACTTTGCATTTTTCTTTATAGTTTAGCAAAGTTACTCGAAATGCAGTGAATGAATGGTTTGAGATGTATATGTTGTACAGAGCTGAGATGGCAGAAAGAAATGCGATTGGATAAGCACTCCAGAGAACTTACGTAGTGTGTGCAAGGTCCTGCGGTCTTTCTGCTGCCTCTGGGAACACAGGGTGAGGCGGCTCTCCAATCGGCATGCAGCCCAGAGACTTACTGATAGCATGACTGAGCTTCTTTGCTGGAGACTTCTGTAAAATGAGTGAAAAAAAATCCTGCAAAGTTAAAAATAAATACTAAATACAACCCCAAAATATCTTACATATACTCAGCTGTGCTTAACTAACAAAATCAAATGTAATTCAAATATATGTGGTTTTGTAGCATAAAGGGGGCATTAATGCAGATTTGATCTGTTCATAAAAAGCCACAGACTTGCTTCCCATGTGAAGCTAGAACATTTTATATAATTTAATGTAGAGATATATATGCGATATATTTCATTTAAAGTTAATGAAAAATTTTCTTTGAATCAGCAAAATCCTTGCTCTGTGGTTAGAAAAAAAAATAAAAAACTTTATCGAGGTGGTAAGAATGAGGGGGGAAGAACTCTTATAATTGGATTTGGGAGGCAGTGCGGATAGTTTCCCAAGCTGTAATTTCCAGCAGTGTGACTGAGCTTTGGAACAACGCTTGAGTATTAAAAATATAATCAATATAACTCACTCACTGAAAAACATGAACCCCTTGAAATCCTGAATTAGAGAAGAATGACAGGAAACAAAATACTTGCTGCTCATCCATCCCTCACCCAAGGCCAAACAATTTTGCTATAAAAATGTACACTACTGTTCAAAAGTTTTGAGAATTCATTACTTTTTTTTTTCAGCAAGGATAAATCAAATTGACTAAGTGACAGTAAAGACGTTTATAATGTTACAAAACATTTCTATTTCAAATAAATACTGTTCTTTTTTACTTTGTATTCATCAAAGGATCCTGAAAAAAGGTATTCCAATTTTTACACAAATTTTAAGCAACACGACTGTTTTCAACATTGATAATAATATAAAATGTTTCAAATCAGTTTATTAGAATGATTTCTGAAGGATCATGTGACACTGAAGACTGGAGTAAAGATGATGAAAATCCAGCTTTGCTTTTAAAGGAATACATTTCATAATATAAAAAAATAGTTATTTAAAATTCTAATAATATTTCACATTACATTATTTCATTAAATACAGTATTCTTCATTAGACTTCATTACTGTATAAAAAATTACAAATTCTTACCCCTAATATTTCTACCTAGTACTATTATAGCACAGTGTGTCCAGAAATTTCGGTTTTGGAAAAGAATTTCCCTTTTAATGCAGAACTATGTCAAACCTTAGCATGCATAATTGAGATCTGTTGTGATTAATGACTTCATGAATTTTGGTCTGTTCCTCAAACAAAGTCATTGAACACATTGAATGTAACATATTGATATACCTTGTTTTTGTCTTTTGTCATTTTAGAGCATTTTAAATCACCATCCACTTTCATTATAAGCTAAAGAACAGCTTGGATATTCTGCATAACATCTCCTTTTGTGTTTCTTGGAAGAAAGAAAATAATACAGGTTTGAAATTAATGAGAGGGAGTAAAGGCTGAATTTCCATTTTTGGGTGAACTAATGCTACATACCCATGAGGAGTGCTCCTTCATCTGGTGCTGGTTGCTATGGGGACCGCTGGCATGACCACGCCAGAAGCAGCTCTGACAAAGCTGGTAGCCATGGCACTGCTGGCAGCGGTACCGGAAACCCATCATGCTCTCACTCCGGCAATACGAACATTCCACTGGATGGAAGACTGTGGGATACCAGCACAAAGGGTTTCAGGCAGCCGCAAACCTTGTTTTAACTGAGCCATATTTTGTGAGTGAGGTGTCCAGACGCAGTGGGAGTTGGGAAATAAGATATAAAAAAACCCACGTACAATGCAGTCGAACCACGTACCATTCTCTACATTAGCGAGTCGGTGCATGAGAGGTAGCCATACGAGGTACTGCGGGGGTGGATCTGCCATCAACACATCCAAAAACGTATTCAGCAAGATCTTCTTCTGGCAAAGCACAGATAAGATGCTCTTAGTGAAAGCCTCTAAGACTCTGAGACAGGTTGAATGAGATCCTGATCGTTTTTAAGGGACTCTCGCTGCTATCTGAAGCAGATTAGTGTACTCACCTGCTGAGGGAAGCATGTTCTCACAGAGTGCTCGGTGTAGCCAAATGATGGCCCCTCGAACACTGCCGTGGGGAGCTTCAACACTTCCCTCAGGAACTGGTCAAATTTGGCAAAGACCATCACCCCATTTGAGTCTGATATCTGGGAAAATATATCTGAAAGAGATACAAGTGATTTTGAGTTACTGTATGTCATGTCATGGATAAATATTTAAGAACAAACAATTCAGAATGAATCCTTAATTTACATTTTATTTATAATGCATGAGGATATCTAATAATTATCTTTAATCATTATCAATTATCAGATTAAGCATGATAAAATTATGCTTATTTTTGTGGAGCAATAAAAGAAATAAAAAATTTGCATCACTTAAATATACAAGTTGTAGCTATTCAAATGAATAAATAAAATGGAAAAACATATCTGGGTAAAATGCATTATTATTTCCCAAAACATTCCAAGCTAATGAGATGAATTGACTTTTGATTTGTGTAATTTCATCAAAAAACAAACAACATTTTGACCAGAACTGTCTATACAGCTAAAAGTCACTTGTTGGATGAAAATACATCTTTATTATTATTATTATTATTATTATTAGTGCTGAGATGTCTTTTAATAACTTCAAGGAGTATTCAAAATAGATTTTAAATTGGAATGTAATTTTGAGTTCAGTGCACATTATGTACAGAAGGGGGAGCCAAACTCTCAGTGGAACTTTTTGGCATAAAAGCCTTTTTGTATATTATTTTAAAATAAATAATATTTATACTATATAACATTGTATGAGCTTACAGTCTTTAAAATGTGAGTAATGGAGACAGAGAGCAGAGAGAAATGTAGGGGGGGGGTGGATTATTTGGGGCTTTATATATATATATATATATATATATATATAAATGTGTGTGTGTGTGTGTGTGTGTGTGTGTGTAAAACACCTGTCAGCAATGTTTTGTCTAACATCTGGACATGCCTAGTAGTTAACGTCATGATGGTACTGTGTTTCTATCATAAAATTATGTAAAATAACTGTTGCAGTGCTGCAAAACTATTAACTGTACCACAACAAGAATAGCAATGTACAATGAGAGAACTGCAAGATTTAGTCATTACATTTGTAAATGATTTTTACATAAAAATTCAAATATTTTTCTATTAATCTATTAGTCTGCATTTACATCGTTTAATGAACATCTATTTTTCTCCCATTCGAAAATGAATCCTGCATTTATGTGAGGGATGAGGGATTTATATGTCACTCCCAAATGAAAAACATCTTTTATTCAAATTCTGAATGGATTATATTTAGCCTAGAAAGTGCACAATCACAGATGTTCAAGAATCAACAGATCTGTCTGTGATTGGCTACATTGCGCTACAAAATATGTTACAAAAACACGCAGTAAATAGAAACTTTTGACGTTCTCCAGAGCGCAAACACAAATACGCACTGGAGTGTTTTCCAAATCTGCTTCGCCAATATCCTATTATTACATTTTCAACTGGTGCTTTTCACTGTGCGAGAAAATGGACGTGTGGCGTGAGAGCGTGAGAAAAGTGTCAATTGCATGAGTCTCACACTGAATGCGTGAGAGTTGGCAGCCCTAGAAGAGTTCAAAATAACTAATCAACAACAGTTTAGCATTATAAAGCATATGAACCCCTCTTTGTGACAGAAAATATCCATTGCATCTTTGTAAAATCACTGCTGAATAGCTATATAACGGGCATGATACTCACAACGTAATTTGTCCAGTATTTTACCACCACACATCGTAGCTAGCATTGACTTCATAGCAAACACTGTGAGTTTCCCATGGCCTTCACTGAAACACAAACAACACATTATCAGAAGATGGTTTATTATAGCAATCCTAAGCCTTAAGATTCTTTAAATTGCATTTACTGTTTGGACTACAGCAAATTTCATACTCTTACAGCCAATCTTTTGGAAATATGTGCGTAAACAGAACATGTTTGACTATTGATCGTGTTAGAAGGCCACAACCAAATTCATTATTAGTATTTTTCTGTTTTTTTCTATGGTAAGCTCAGTCTTGGAAAGTAGCCTAACAATGCTACAAACTTAACTATGTTTTTCTGTAGCTTTACAGCAGCTCAGCTGTTTTTGTTTATAGTATATAGTGTAGCTTTTTCAGCTACTTTTCCAAGAGGTAGAAGTGTAGCATGACAAAAAGCTACATCTCCCTTTTTGTCAAATTGTGCACAGGATGCAAAAATGTCATATAGCTCGTTTTTTAGTTTTGGAAAGTCGATTCATTTTATTGAAAAGGTTTGTTTGAACCATTCATGTAAATGAACCAGTTCAAAAATGACTAACCAATTCATTCAGTCTCTATGCACCATCTTTTTTTTTTTTTTTTTTTTTTTACGTTTTTTTACTTCTTGACGTCCATTAGGTGTTAGTTGTGTTCAGCCAAAATTTGAAATGTTAAACATTTCATGCTGTCAACCATAACTGAGATCGCTTTGGAGGCGTCGTGTTTACATCTGTTACAATGATTGCTTGTTTAGTTGAATCAGGATCAGTTGATCAGGATCAACTAAATGTTGGATTTTCAAAATATGTGAAGTTTGTTGCAGTAAACTTGCATGACGTTCTTTAATAAATGATTAATTGGTTTCACACTGGTCTGTTATTGTAGGGACGTCGACTTTACATGGGTGGCCCTTAGCCAATGAAAGCTGCGATGGAGTCCAGACCTTCTGCCATCAGTCTGCATAGATATGTATACGTGAAGCTACATTCAACTGCTCCAGACACATCAACGTGTCCGCCATCTTGGAACGGTAAAAAAACAAACAGACAAAATCTGCACGGGGAAATCTTTCACCCTCACTTGAAATTCCAAATCGAGTGGAATTCTATTGAAATGACTGGATTTTGTTTGCAAAAATTCAACAATCAATGGTAAATATGTACCTTTAGAATTTTGCCAAAACGAGGTGCACTATCTAAGTAAGCAACATAGTTAAAGTTGAAATCAAATCAAAATTAAAGTTTTTTGAGTGTTAGTATCAATATGTTAGTCTAACGGCTCTGTCTGAACGGCTCTAGCCCAAGCTGTGATATAAACTAACGCTATTGGCTATTTTAAAAAGGGGCGGGGCTGCTTGATATGTCCTGCCCTGTCTTCCTGTTTCAGTTAAAATGACGTCAACACATAGAGTAACGCTGCGTGTTTCTAAGCATTTCAGGGGACCTTTAAGATGCCTATCTTTTGAAATAGCCTTTGGGAGTGTATTTACGATGTCTTAAAATGCTGCCTCCTTAGGCAGCTCACTATGTTTTGGAACAGAGCCTATGCCTTCCAAACACTCACTCTTGTCACGATGCATATGACTCACAGTCCATCAGGTTTGCCCTGGGACCCCCTGAGAGAAAAACAAATCTCCCTCACTAACAACACACCTGTCATAAGTGGCCACGATGAAGTTTAGCAGCAGGCCGATGGACTGCTCCACGTTTATCTGGTGGGTGGTGGGCAGCCGCTTGTTGAGCTGGTAGAAGATGGAGGACAAAATGGTCTCCAGGCGTGACACATTAATCTCTGCGTTGTGGTCTAACGTGCTCAGCCCATTGTCACGGAAAGCTTCGATCATGTTCCACACGTCCACTAGGTGAACTACGACAGGGAAAGTACACCAGTGAGATCATTAAAGATACAGAATGGATATGTTCTGTCATTTTTCCCATACTAGAACAAATTTACATGATATACAACAAAAGTGACTGTACAAATACCAAAATACACAAAATGCACTGAATGGTATTTTAAAATAAATAACATGGAAGCAGGACTTACGGTTGCATCGTTTCTGAACAAATCGTAGCTTACATGCTGTCCTATACGTTGAGAGACGAATAACATCAAAGTTTTGTGCCCCTGGTGAAAATCACATGCATCAGTTTTGTTACTTTCACATTGGCAAGTCCCTTAAACCAATAGTTTGCACCAAAATTCAAATTTTGTTTATTTACTAGGGGTGGGAATCCTTTGGCATCCAATTTCAATTCTGGGTATCACAATCTGATTCCAAAACAATTCTTGAAATTATTTGTGCAATTTTATTAAATTACTTATATTAGTACTTTTTAAAATAATTAATTACATATTAATAATAAATTAAAAAAAAATGTAAGAATTATAATCAACTAAATATACCTTCAAAACATACAAGCAATTATAAATGATATATTACTAATGACATAAACTGTGGTAGGTATATTAATTTGCATTCACACTAATGCACAAATCTATTTTAACATATCAGATGTTTTGTCTTGTCCTTAAGACATAACTGATTGTGTTTGCATTAATTTCGCATCATAAAAGCATTTTTGAGATGCTTTATGCATTTTGAGTTTTATGCGTCACATTTTTATTCCATTTCAAGCAGCAAAAACTATGCCTCTGTAGAGCATTTGGAACAGAAAAACTGAAATACCGGTGAGTGAAACCACACAATGTCAAGCAAAGCACATGTTTCTCACAGCGCATGTCCTGAATCCAGAATCATTGAAGAGAAGATTATTTACTCATCATCATGTTGTTTCAAACCTGTATTACTTTCTTTCTTAAATGGAACACAGAAATGTTGAAGAATGTACTGGCTGCTCTTTTCCACATAATACACTCTTAAAAATAAAGGTTTCAAAAGGGGGTTTTCACAGCAATGCCATAAAGGAACAGTTCTTAAAAGAACCATTTTTTTCTTAGTGTAAAGAACATTTTAAAAAGCTAAAGAACCTTTTCGTACTATAAAGAAGTTTCCATGTATGTTAAAGGTTCTTTGACAGAATCTTGTATGCCAATAAAGAACCTTTATCTTTAAGAATGTAGGGATCCAGGCTGTCGAGATCCAAAATGACAGCAATCCCTCACTTAAAAGGTACAGTCACGTTTAGTCACATTAGAACATTTTTGGCAAAATTCTGTGGGCAAAAAATATCCATAGTTAATTCTCAATAGTGTAGCGATAGATGAATCACAGCTCACACAGAAGTTCGCTTGCAAACCAAGCAGCTTTCTGTTGGTCAATTCATGTTACCAACTTGAACACGAGCAAAATCTGCTTGGGGAACTTTTTCTCCCTCATGCAAAACTCCTGGTTCCCTTTCGAGCGGTCTCTCCCGTTGCATTAACATGCTACGGGGAAAGTCTTGTTTACTCTGCTACTGAAGCCTGATTTGAACATGTTCATGTAGCTGCACAAACCAATGGTGCCTAAAGGGGTGGAGCCGACTGCTATATAAGTCGGCTCTGAGCGCCATTTCGTCCGAATTTTTCTCCTTTAGCAATGAAGGTCATCTCCCCGCTGGACTCTGAAGCAAGAAGCCAAAGCAAGAAGCTCAGCCTGCTGCTCGCTGCCATTAGAGGAAGCCCCGGCAGAGGAAGATCACTAGAAGCCACAGCCATATCACCCTGTAGCCCAAGACTGGTTGCCCACTGAAACTAATCAGGGTTGAGCCTGGTCAGTACCTGGATGGGAGATCTCCTGGGAAAACTAGGTTGCTGCTGGAAGAGGTGTTAGTGAGACCAGCAGGGGGTGCTCACCCTGTGGTCTGTGTGGGTCCTAATGCCCCAGTATAGTGAAGTGGACACTATACTGTAAAAAGCACCATCCTTCAGATGAGACGTTAAACCGAGTTCTTGACTCTGTGTGGTCATTAAAAATCCCATGGCACTGGGCCAATTTGGGTCCTGGCCAAATTCCCTCCACTGGCCCTTGTCAATCATGGTCTCCTAATAATCCCCATCCACTGAATTGGCTCTATCTCTCTCTCCTCTCCACCTTTAGCTGGAGAGCGAACTGATTCGCATTCTCACCAGGCTGTGGAGAATCTCGGCTTAGAATGGTCGTCTCCAGAAGAACCTGCCCACAGCCGTTTAGACAAATGATGCCCACTGGGCTGTCGTCAATGAATCTCCCGCTAGAGTCCGGTGCTGTTTTTCTTGGAAGTTCACGATGAACTCACAGAGGCGTGGCATGCCCCTACTTGGCGCATGTCCACTTTTCTAATTCTGCCGCCCTCACCTCTGTTGACAGTGCTGAAGTAAGAGGGTATGGCAAGCGCCCCCCTAGAGAAGAGGCGGTCGCTGCACACCTCTATCCGCCATATTCCTGGCAGATTTGCAAAGTGCTTCACTGCAGCTCAGAAGTCGTCACAGGTCATTCACCACTTCCTGCCTAAGCGCTCCAGGCCAGTAGAATGAGGTTACTCACTCCAGTTCGCTCGCAGGCCACCTCGCTTCAGAGGCATTATTCAAACTTCAGTACAGGACGACAATGCTCACGTTCTCCGGTCTGAAGTGCAAACTCTGCTTGTAAAAGGAGCCGTGGAAATGGTTCCTCTAGCGAACAGCGAGTCAGGCTTTTGCAGCCGCTACTTCCTCGTGCACTTATGAATCTTCCATTCAAGATGCTGACTTGGAAGCAGATTCTCGTTCAAATATGCCCCGGGGACTGTTTTTTTTTATCAGTGGATCTAAAAGACGCTCACTTTCACATCCAGATTGCCCCTCATAACAGAGCACCCTTGAGATTCGCGTTTGAGGGGGTGACTGTCTCTGGCCCTATGCACTTTACGAAGTGAACGGACGCGGCTCTTTCCCCTCTGAGACAGATGAATTACCTAGACCAGTGCTTCCCAAACCGTGGGCCGTAGCGGTATCGCGGGGGGGCCGTGGCTAGGCTAAATCAAAATATTAAAATAATTAAAATATTCTAATTGTTCTAAAATGTGATTTTTTTTCCCCCTCCTTGTGACACAAATAAAAAACATTAAAAAAAAATTCCATTATAGCGAGGTGAGATACATTGCTTATTTTCAAACTGACATCAGCTGCTTAGTAGGAATTCAGTCACAATTAACCATCAATTCAAAAATGCGACAGTGGCTGCTCGGTAAAAGAGGAGCAGAGGATGACAATCCATCCTCATCAATTGGACCTAACTGCACTTCAAGTAAACGAAAGACTCGTAAGTACAGTGGGGAGTACTTGTCCTTCGGATTTACGAGTGTTGGTCCTGCTGACAACCCCACGCCTGTCTGTGTGCTATGCTCAGAGACCCTTGCTAATGAGGCACTGAAACCATGCAAGTTACGCTGTCACCTTGAAACAAAACATGGGTCGTTTGCCAGCAAGCCTCGAGAATTTTTTGCAAATAAATTGAAAGATTACCTGCATCGTAAAAAAGTGATTGAGTCAACCTGTGTGACGGGTGGCGAAAAAGAAAAGGCAGTGACAGCATCCTATGAGGTATCAAGACTGATAGCTACATCTGGAAAGCCCCACACCATAGGTGAAGACTTCATTTTTACCAGCCGCTAAGCAGATGGTCAGCATAATGCTGGGAAACAAAGCAGTTAAGCAACTTAACTTGATTTCTTTATCAAACAACACGGTTAAGCACCGAATTAATGATATGGCCGAGAATGTGTTCCAGCAGCTAATTTGCAGAGTTCGAGCGAGTCGTTTTTATGCAATTCAAATCGATGAGTCCACAGACATCGCGGGTATGGCGAATTTGCTCGCAAAAAAAAAATTCCATTATAGCGAGGTGAGATACATTGCTTATTTTCAAACTGACGTTGGTTGCTTAGTAGGAATTCAGTCACAATTAACCATCAATTCAAAAATGCGACAGTGGCTGCTCGGTAAAAGAGGAGCAGAGGATGACAATCCATCCTCATCAACTGGACCTAACTGCACTTCAAGTAAACGAAAGACTCGTAAGTACAGTGGGGAGTACTTGTCCTTCGGATTTACGAGTGTTGGTCCTGCTGACAACCCCACGCCTGTCTGTGTGCTATGCTCAGAGACCCTTGCTAATGAGGCACTGAAACCATGCAAGTTACGCTGTCACCTTGAAACAAAACATGGGTCGTTTGCCAGCAAGCCTCGAGAATTTTTTGCAAATAAATTGAAAGATTACCTGCATCGTAAAAAAGTGATTGAGTCAACCTGTGTGACGGGTGGCGAAAATGAAAAGGCAGTGACAGCATCGTATGAGGTATCAAGACTGATAGCTACATCTGGAAAGCCCCACACCGCTAAGCAGATGGTCAGCATAATGCTGGGAAACAATGCAGTTAAGCAACTTAACTTGATTTCTTTATCAAACAACACGGTTAAGCACCAAAATTAATGATATGGCAGAGAATGTGTTCCAGCAGCTAATTTGCAGAGTTCGAGCGAGTCGTTTTTATGCAATTCAAATTGATGAGTCCACAGACATCGCGGGTATGGCGAATTTGCTCGCATTCGTTAGGTATAAATGTGATGGAGAAATTGAGGAAAACTTTCTTTTTTGCAGACCTCTACATTCAAACGCAACTGCGGAAGCTATTTTTGACATTCTGAACGATTTCATAATTTCCAATGACATCAACTGGACAAAGTGCGTTGAACTCAGTACCGATGGTGCTCGTGCTATGCTGGGCCGACACAGTGGAGTGGTGAAGCGAGTCAAGGACGTGGCCTCGTTGCTCACTCACGTACATTGCTGTATTCACAGAGAGGAATTAGCCGCTAAGAGAATGCCCATGGATTTAAAGACAGTTTTGGACGATGCTGTCAGAATGGTGAATTACATTAAAAGTCATCCACTGCAAGCACGTTTGTTTTCCCTTTTGTGTGAAGAGATGGGTAGTGAACACCGCCAGCATTTACTACATACCAAGGTCCACTGGCTCTCACGCGGCAGAGTGCTCACCCGGCTCTTCCAGTTAAGTGACGAGGTCTTAAAGACAAAGTACAGGAATGTGTTGAGTGTGGAATCTGATCTCCGTCTTAAATTGACGTCGATTCAGCCAGACATCAAATCCTTAACAGCTGAAAAGCAACATCACCCATCTCATTAGGTACTGTCTGGAAGACTGCTGATCAGACTGTGGGACTGTTCTTTACTAAAACTGACAAAGTTTACATCGTTCCTCAGTTTAAAGTTTTTAGGTTTTATTTTTTTTTTAAACATAGTTATGTATTTCATTGCAATAGATTTGTGAACTATGTAGCTTCTGTTACACACTTTGATGCAATATAATTGTAAATAGTATGCAGAAAGTATGTAGTGTTATGGATTTAAATATATTTGTAAAGAATGTTTACATCATCTTACTTTCACCAGAATATAAAAATATAAAATTGTATGGTAGTACTCATAATTCACATGAAATTCTTACAAACTGGTTAATAAATGTTGATAATTTTGTGCAAAGAGACAATCTGCTTTATTAAATATATCTAATATAAAAATATATCTAAATATATCTATATACTATTAATCTATATATTTTTTAACATAGAGGTGTGGGGGGTGGGGGGGGGGCTTACCCCTCTGAAGTTTGGGAAGCTCTGACCTAGACGATTGGCAGGCCTTAGCCAGAAAGGAACAAGAACTCATCGCTCACTGGTCGCTGCTGCTCAGCCACCTGGAGCGGCTTGGGCTAAAAATTAATTTAGCCAAGAGCTCTCTGTCTCCCAGCCAGTGAGTGGTCTTCCTGGGGGCAGTTATCGATTCTGCCCAGATGCGGGTATGGATTACGCTGGAATGCTCCCTTAAAATTAAGCGTCTAGCAGTGTCATTCAGACTCGGGACTTCATGTCCCCTCAGGGCTTTTCAGAGGATGCTCGGCCTCATGTGAGCCACTTCCTCTGTGATTCCTCTGGGCCTGCTTCACATACGGCCCCTCCAGTATTGGCTCAAAGCCCATGTGCCGTCCCACGCTTGGCGTCTGGGACATTTTCATCTCAGGGTTACCCACCGCTGCATCAGAGCTGTGACCTCTTGGAAATCCTCTCGCCTGTTTCAATCATCCCGTTGGGACTGACATCCAGAAGGACGTTGGTCATGACAGACGCCTCCAACTCGAGTTGGGGAGCTCTCTGCAAGGGAAGACGGCATTCGGCTCCTGGTCAAACCTGGGGCAATGCTTACAGATCAACTGCCTCGAGATGATGGTGGTTTTTCTAGCCCTAAAAGCCTTCCTGCCGGCCTTAAAAGGGGCACCACATCTTGGTCCATTGGGACAACATGACAGTGGTAGCCTTATTAATCACCAAGGCAGTCTCAGGTCACACTCCCTTCATAGGTTGGCTCGATGCCTCCTTTTATGGGCACAGGCAAACTCCTCTCGTTGAGAGCAGTTCAGTCCAGGGGCAATGTAGCTCCAGGAGAATGGAGACTACATCCCCAAATGGTACAAATGATCTGGTCTGTCTTCAGGAGGGCAGAGGTGGACCTCTGCCTCAGAAGACAACTTTCACTGCCCAATTTACTTTTCAAAGCAGCGAGATGCTCTGGCCCACAAATGGCCCAGCGCTCACTTGTATGCCTTCCACCTGGTTGCCCTGCTTCCTCAGGTCATCAGACGGGTCAGGGAAGTCAGATGTTCTGTCCTCCTGGTGGCCCCACTCTGGAGGAATCAGACATGGTTCACCGCAAGTGTGACTAATACCATTTTGGAGGCTAGAGTCCCATCTACAAAACATCTCTTCGCCCTTAAATGGTCAGTCTTTTCTGAATGGTGTGCAGCACGGAACAAGGACCCATCCTCTTGTGATGCGTATCATGTGCTGATCTTTTTACAAGAGCTACTGGACAAAGGGCGCACCCTTTCCACGCTCATAGTATATGTAGCTGCCATCGCGGCGAATCATTCTCTCGTGCCTAGCCTGTCATTCGGCAGAAACAACCTTGTCATTAATTTTCTGAGGAGAGCTCGGAGATTGAATCCGCCTCGTCCTCATACTGTGCCGACTTGGGACTTATCTATAGTCCACAGGGCCCTACGGGGCCCTCCCTTCAAGCCGCTCCAGCCCGCCGACTTGCGGCCCCTGTCACTTAAGACCACCCTCCTTTTGTTAATGTCAGTCAAGCGAGTGGGTGACCTGCAGGCACTGTCAGTCTGTGCTTCATGTCTGAGTTTGGGATTAATGATTGTAGGGTCGTCCTCAAACCAAGACATGGCTATGTGCCTAAGTGCTCTTCACTCCGTTCAGAGCACAAGTCATCACCCTTCTAGCTCTTCCAAATTGAGAGGATGAGCAGGATCCTAATCCACTCTGCCGGGTTTGGGTCCTTAGAGTGTTTGTTGACTTCTATTGGTGATATCTGTGTGCCCACGGCTGGTCATCGCCATCTACCTTCACCAGGTTTTATAATTTGGACGTCCCTGCCCTGCAGGCACGGATTTTGTCCACTTAAGTTTACCTAATCCCCTTTGTAAGTGGAGAAGGGTTTGTTATTTAGTCCTCAGCCTAGGTGGCTTGGGTCTCATTGTTAGCTCAGACTTACAGGAGCCCTTAGTACGGGCGCTCCGGGGCTGGGTATGCAGAGCAGGTTTGTTCTGCACTTGCTTATAGCATGGCGTGATTGGATGCAAAGGAACACTCTGGTTACTTACATAACCTTGGTTCACTGAGATATGGGAATGAGTGTTGCGTATGCTGATGTGCTATAAAGCTGCACGTGAGTCGATGACTGTCGCTTCAGTTGAAAGATTCTGACGAAATGGCGCTCAGAGCCGACTTGTATAGCAGTCAGCTCCACCCCTTTTGGCAGGTTGAAGCGCCATTGGTCCATGCAGCTACACGAACGTGATCAAATCAGGCTTCAGTATCAGAGAAAACAGGAGTTTCCCCATAGCGTGTTAATGGAACGCTCGTTCCCTTATCTCAGGGAACCAAGGTTATGTAAGTAACTGGAGCGTTTCATCGATTCCTATTGAAATGACTGGATTTCACAAAAAGTTTTTAAAAATATGCACATCTGACGGGCAAAAAAAACTCAATGAGGGTGTTCAACTATTAGTCTATATCTCAAAGTTTGTCTGATGAAGATCCATACGGCTCGAAACATCACCTGTGGTGAGAACATTAAATAAACATTTTTACATTTTTGGAGCTGTGGTGTGCCAACCTTTCTTTTTTCTTAATGGCTGGATTTCGCAGAGAATCTGAAAATGTCACCTTCAAAGTTTCATAAAAGTGGCCCATATCATTTTTCCACCATTTGTGTCCTACAAAAGACAAAAGTCATACAGGTTTGGAACGACATGAGGATGAGAAATTTTGGGTGAACTATCCCTTCAAAAATGTGTAATCTATGACAAACACAAAAATATTCTGAATATACAAAGCAACTGTGACAGTTTTACTTGGACCATCAACCTGGTTCTACTGTTTTCTCAAAATCGTATTTGCCTTCCAACCATAGACACTAGTTTGTGCCAGTCTATTGCCCTGTGGCAGTGGAGGGCGAATAGAATTCGACAAGACCTCTGTGTATGTGTGTGGTGCATTGTGCAGAAAATGTTGTTAACTCTGAAAGCAACTCACTCATCTCCATGAAGAGCTGTCTCTTCTCCACCATAGATTTGCTGCTTTTACTTCCCTCTTCAATCATTCTACACAACACAAAAAAGGTCCATTTAATACCACAGCTTAACCACGGCCTCATTATGAAGACACAACTCACAATAACAGCAAAAATCGCTAAATTGAATTTGAATGTTTGCAAAACTTTTACAATAATTTGTAAAGAAATTGATATAGAAATTGCAACAGCAATACAGCTAAAAAAAACAACTGCAATACAGCTAATATATCTCTGTGTATATTCCACATTCAGACTTTTAGAACTCTCTTATACGATCTTTTGGTGCATATCGTCAGTCCACAGGAAACTCCTTAAGACTCACCTGTCAGGTTGGCTGGGACTCAGATAAGGTGATGCAAAGGAACCAGGAAGCTCCTACATAAGGAAAAACATTTTGATGTTGACATCTGGGGAAATACCCCTCCCCCCAATCCAACCCACACACACATACAAAAATAAACCCTGGAATAAATCCCCCATTCACAAAAGGGCATTTGAGTTCTCTTGCTCTCTGCTAGTGCTGATTATGTATGACAATACTGTCTGCACAGACTGCATCCTGTAAGCTAATGAAACAAGAGCCGCTAAGGAGCCACTTAATAGTGACAAGAAGAGAACACATCATAGAACCAGTAAAGGAAGAATTCTGAGTATAATGGCTGTGAAAAAGAATACATGCATATTATATAGAATTTGTCATGAGTAAAAGTATTGTGAAGAGAGATGAGAAACGAGCCGCTAAGGAGTCACATGAAAGCAATCAAAGAAGAACTCTGAATGTAATGAGTGTAAAAAATATACACATAATACTGGATATTATAGTAATGTGGATATTATAGTTATTACTGTTGTGTAATTGTAGTTCTTACATCAACACCATAAAACGTAACAACAGCCGTCAACTCATATTTACTTGCTGCTTCAATTAGTAGAAGGGATTTTTATAAATCCCAATGACTTGAATCTTTTGATTCATTTCGTCAAGATGATCTGTTCTGATTCATTCACTGATTCAGTGACCCTTTCTGCAGGTTACATTGTTATGCCTGTAGAGTAGACTGTTAGGCAGTAAGTTGTGTGAGTGATTCATTAAAGGAATAGTTCACCTAAAAATAAAAATTTACCCACGCTCAGGCCATACAAGATGTAGATGAGTTTGTTTCCTCATCAGAACATATTTGGAGAAATTTTGCATTACATCACTTGCTCACCAATGGATCCTCTTCATTGAATGGGTACCATCAGAATGCTAACAGCTGATAAAACCATCACAATAATCTAAAAGTAATCCATATGACTCCACTCCATCAATTAATATCTTGTGAAGTGAAAAGCTATGTGTTTGTAAGAAACAAATCCATCGTTAAGGCATATTAATGTTAAACCATCACATAATCCATAATAACGCTTCTTCTAGTGACAAAGTCCATCCCCCGTTGTCCTCTCACATCAAAATCCACTGACCTATTTGTTTAGAACTGTTTGCACTTGGAAACAGTACTTGATCTGTGCATATTTCTCTCCTGATTCAGGTGAGACAACTTTGTGTGGATTACTTGTGGATTATTGTGATGTTTTCATCAGCTGTTTAAACTCTCACCCATTCATTGCAGAGGATCCATCGGTGAGCATGTGATGTAATGCTACATTTCTCCAAATCTGTTCCAATAAAGAAACAAGTTCATCTACATTTTTGCATTGCCTGAGGGTGAGTATATTTTCAGCAAATTTTCATTTTTTGCGTGAGCTAGCTACTTCTTTAAATCATTCACTCAACAATTCGTTAATAAACAAGCTGTTTACAACCTAAACTTTTAAGACTTTTTATATACTTTTTTAGTGTATCTAATTTAGAAAGAGATTTGTAGAAAGAGTGAGACCGAAATGATAAAACGCAGATCTATTTTCCCAAAACTGCAGAGCATTATTAAAATCGAGGGACTGATTCAGTGACATATACTCAAAACAGCAGCTGAATTCGGAAAAGAGTGCATTAGTGCCGCCCTCTTTTTCAAATGTGCTGTTCTTTTTTTCCATACATTTTTACCATAGGGATTTCAAAAAAAAAAAAGTCTTCATTAAAGTGTTATAAGCATGAACCAAGCTAAATAGCTACAAGGTGAATCATAACATTACAAACTTTTACTTGAAGCAAAAAAGTATTTAAAGGGGTCATATGATGCTTTTTTAAAGATCATTATTTCTTTGGTTTTGAGACTAGTCTTTGCAACTTCAGGGATCTTATCTATGCACAATCAGCTTGTAACACTCCAAAGAGAAAGGAACACTTGAAATCGCATCATATGACCCCTTTAAGACTGTACTTAGCAGCTTTAGTGAAGGAAAGAACTACAATCCCATGAAGCATTGCGAATGACAATCAAATCAAAAACGGTGAACGGTGAAATATAAAATGATTTGTTTAATGTTCTTGATTATATCTATAGAAACAATATATTTTGAGCTTATTGCAAAGCATGCATAAATATTTAAGTATTTTAAAGCACAGTGAAACCGTCTTGATTAAATTGTTCCTAGTGTTTCATGGGAGAGGGCGTTCCCTGCAGAGACCCTTTGGTGCAATTTGATTCTCCAATTGGTGGAATTTCCATACAGTATCTTGGGTAATGTAGTTTTTACCATGAATTCTGCTGTCAAGACATTTATTTTAAAAATTAGCTTAAATAGAGTGCACAGATGGCTTAAACAAATGCATATGCCATTGATTAACAATGCCGGAGTTCACAAAGATTTGCAAGTTGTTGTTAAAAATCAATTTCCCAATGGAGAAAATGAGTTTTTCTTATGGAACCCACCTGTTGCACATCTAAATTAACTGGTTTTATTCAAGTCAAAAATAATATTTCACATCACTGAATCAATACATTAATTTATGCAAACAAAACTATATGTAATGGGTTGAATCAGGTAGATAGGTAACAATTGCAGGTTTTACTGCAGTGTTATTCCGAATTTAGCAAACAGCTTGTTCAGATAAACTGGCGTATTTGTTTAGTAATGAGCTGTTCTTCACAGGAAGCACTCAAATACTATTGGACCGTAATGACAGGAAGGCAGCGGGAGACACTTCAGTGAACCAAAAAATACGAGTCAGTGCATGAACAAGATTCGTTCACTTAAAAGATTCACTCAAAAGCCTCGATTCGTTCACGAACGAAACGCCACTAGAAAGCATTATGTCATTGCTGACCGTTAAAGACACCGCTGACGTTATGACTTCTGGCTTCAAGTCGTTCCGTTCGTTTTGCTAATCTAATCGCATGTTGCAAGGGCTACTACTAAGTGAATATATGGCCCACTATAAGTCAGAAGTAACACACCGCACCTCTATAATGACTCGCGCTTTGACGTGACTCAACCAACGGAAATACACACTGTACACACAAATACTTATACACCCCCAATGCGTTTAAATGACAACGTCTAAGCTTAATGAATACGGCCATATTATCTTTATTTAACTCCCTATGATGTGTTAAATAAATAAGATGCTATATGATCCACAAATACAGTTGGATCCGTAAGATGATATTCTGAGGACATGTTTAGCTGTGCTCCCTTTGCGTGTGTTTGTATTTGCATCTGAATGCGAAAGCATCATTAGCGGGGAAATCACGCAGGTCGCGCGACCATCAGCATCTGATGAGAGCGATCAACGGTCTCGCGCTCGATTCCTGGCGTATCATCATCATCATCATCTTCATCATAGCTCTCTTGCGTTTCAATTTATTTTTTTTAATATAGACTGACAAATACTGACCCAATAATCCGCAATTCGGTAGCGCTGCGCTCCCCCATCTTCATATTTGTGCCGTGGTTACCGTTCCGTTTGATTCGGTCTTGTAGGAACTGCAGTACAGGATGCGAGAGCGCTTCTCTGAGCATCAGCCAACAGCAGAGGACAGCAGAGCACTCCTGCCTTTCCCATCACTGAGCGGCACTATTGCTCTTTATATGCACGATTTTTACTAAGCCTTTAGCCGACTGTTAGTTTTATGTAATGCAGTGCAATATGCTTGCTCAAATATGCTGAGTAGATCTTCATATACTGCGTATGTATGCTTATGTCATGTCTACGTCAGACACATAAAGATGTTTATTTTTTATTTTGCATTTCTAAATTAATAGATCATTATAGGCTACCATAAGTCCACACAGCATGAGATATACTTATTAATAAAAAATCATTGCAAAAGCAAGAAACAGATTTTTTTTAAATTACATACACATTGTAGGGGGTTAAACCAAATCATACCGGCTAAACAAATCAAATAATTTCCTAATAAAATAAAAATGAAACATCTCGGTCCAAATTTAACCAGATTACATTGAAAAAAAATAAATACTCGACAGTTTCAATATATCATTGGCCAGTGTTTGAATCCACATTAAATTTTAATCTTAGAAATTCCTTAGTTGGCTAAATACATCATTTTAAATGGCACTTCTTTACATTTTGGTGGAAAGGGAGCAGAACAGAATAAAATTCCTCTAATCCAGGTATAAAATAGCCTATCCACCACTATATTTTTTGTACTTTTAAGACATAGGCATAAATTATAAATAAATATATTAAATGTATATCTGTATATTCATACTGAATAACATATATCAGCACATGCAGTCTTAAATGCAAAGTTATATTCTTTGTGCTTGTTGGCTAAAAAAGCGATTCTGATTCTGATTAATACTCTAAAATCATAATTTAATTGCTTAAAAATTCAACTATGACTGGAACACCTGTTCACCTTTTCACTAGTGTTGTTGCATAGCAACGTTCCATCAAATCACACTTTATGTAATACGTCATTGGTTTTGTACCTTATTGTTTAAATAATTAGAAGAAATTAACTGAATTACATAAAAAAATAACCCATTACTGAATTTGTTTTCCTGCATTTTATTCATATTGTTTCTTGATAAAATACACTTTGCTTACAATTGCTATATTACATTCACCTTTATTTTACATCAAATATTTGACTTTTAAAACATAAAATAACACACATTGTGGAAGCCACTCCAAGTTCTGGAATACCAACACCTCCTGCACTAAGAGTCATATCATTTCAGGGGTCCGCAGGGGAAAACATTGCCTCATTAATTAAAACTCCAAGTGTTTTGTTAAATGTCACAGGCATATAAGGTTGGCGATAGAGGAAGTAAGTCATGCGTTGCAACTCTATCAAAGGAAATGAAAGCAGTAAATAACCAACAATAGTTAAACTGCTGTTTACACCTCTGACAAATTAAAACATTTTCAAGAAATAAGTTAACCTAAATATCTTTTTTTTTTTTAATTCAAATCAATTCTAAGGCCTGATATAAAGTATAATGGAGGTATCACAGTTATTCTATGAGTCTCTTGTAAGTTTAACTGCTGCATATGTATAAGTAAATAAAAGCGTCAGTTTACCCACTGACAAAAGTCAATGAAAGCCAGTTACCTTGAAACAACCTCACAGGCTCACACCCAAAGCCATTCAGCACAACCCAACCACCACGCTAGTTAATTTTATTCATACAACATAAACACTATAACCTGATGGATTTTTTTTTTATGCAAGAAGCTAGACTTTCAATAATCAATAAAGTGAGCTGCAAGTTTCACACACATATTATTAGTCAATTAAAAATCCACTGTAAGGACATCAATTCATCACAGGCAAAAGTAGCCATACAAAAATATCAACAGATCAGACTATCACAAGGGTCCTGGTACAAAAAAAAAAAAAAGTGTAAAAAGTTTATGTACTCCTTAAACAAAGGCATACCAAAATGGGACAGCCAATAATATAAAGTTATAGTAAATACCCTGTTTCTTAAATGTTTTGTAAAATGATTTGTAAATAGACTTCTTTTTATTAAAATATATTACTTAAAATATATTACTTTGCTTAACTAGACAAGACATTAAAAACAAAATCTGATTATCTAGTCCCCATAAATCGACTTTGGTATATTACCAAGCAAATTTGATCTAAAATTCGTTTACATTTCTATTGCCTGTAAGGCAGATGATTAAAAAAAAATTAAAATAAAAAGACTAATTCAAAGATGCATCAACTTTTTTTTCTAACATACATAGAACTATGGGTATCAAAACTGATCTGTTTAGCAGAATTGTTTCAGGACAGAAATTAAACCACGACACTAAATGTTGAAACATGATTAAAATTATGATGTGTTGGACAGTATTTCATAAATAAAAACCTTTAGTTATCAGACAATCGGATATGTTTAGGCAAGATACAAGAATGCTTTGTAGAAATATTTGTACATCTAAAAGAAAGTCCGTATTTACAATACTAAACAAAACAGAAAAAAATCTTCATAAAATCTCCCTTCTGAGTGTTTAACTTCAATGCTCATATAGTTTTGCTGTTGATACTCTGCATTATTATCCTATTCCTAAAAACTAAGGTTACAGAGAGTATCTGCTATTCCAATTAGAGGCAATGTCACTTGTGTGACGTAAACTGATTAGACACAGGCTATTGAAATGATTAAGACCTGCTTTTGCTCCTGAGAGGGTACAACAGATTGTTTAAGAATTCTTTCATCCTTACAAATCATCATTTTTTTTAAAGATATAGATCGTTAGCAAAGTAATTTTCTGAACATAAAAAAGTGCAACCCTAATAAATCCTTTTTTCTGAAGAAAATGAGATGTAAGGGACTAATGCTCTCAATTTTATAAATACTGTAAATATACAAATTATTGCCACTATCAGTATAAACCTGTTCTTACATTCTTCTCTCAAGTAAAACCCACTGATCTAAGAGAAGTGCTAGCCTGTTAACATATTTGACAAAACTCCCTTCTATCTCATAAATAACTTTGAACAGTACCATATAAACCTAGTATCAAGGCAGGTTAATATATTAGGTTTACATATTCACAGTAATTCTGCAAAATAATTGGTATTTCAGTTGTGTGGTTCTTTTGCTTGTGTCACAAAGGCCTAAACCAACCAACAAATAGCTTTACAGGATATGCAAAGACTAAATATTGATGTTATCGGTTTCTAATCCAGCAAACTAGTGTGAATTATGTGTAAAAGATACGAAATTTGAGGGTTGGAAGGAATCATGATTTTTAACATCTATAAAAATAGTAGTATATTCATTTGCATTTCTAAAATCCTATTACAAAAATAGAACAGAAATAGAACAAGCCTTAAATATTGCCACTATTCAATATCGAGTCTTGAGGCTAAAACAAGGTGCTCAATGAATGAGAGGAAGTATTACTCAGCATTGCACGTTTTTTATACCTCATCTTCTAGCATGCTATTTATGTTTGTATTGTAAAGAAAAACAAAGGGGCGAAATCACTAAACAGTTGCGCCACTTTTGCACTCTGCATTTCAGCGCAAAAACCTGCGGTGTCTCTACTAAGCACCGGCAATCCAGTTTAACCAGGCGCTTAAAGCGCTCAAACTGCAAATGAAAAGCATGGGTACATATCCAGACATACAGTGTAGTCGAGCGCACTTTCGGCACTTTAAAGAGCCGATTCAGGTGTCTGGATTGCATTACTGCAGCCATACTAAACAGTCCCAGTAAAGCATGCCAGATCACGGTAGTCTGCTGCATTCGCCACAACTAAGTACTCAAAACTGACTTGCAAGAATAACACAGGCTTGCTGGTCATGTTACCTGATTTGCATAACTCCTGAATCAGCCGCTAAAACAAAGCAAGAAAGTACGTGCAAATAAGCAGCACTATTAGCAGGCACAATTCATTCTTAGTGAGTTCCCCCCCATTCAGCACAACAGCTTGCCTCTCTCAAATGACAACGGATATATGAACAGGTTACCACAGCGAGAGAGTCACTGCTGTACTGTCGTAACATTTCTGTTACCCTCACTGCAGTGATTGCTTCTCTTTGAATGAATGAATGAACAAGTTGCAGTTCATTCTCATGACCATTATCGTACCACCAAACACGAGACACATAGTTTGGATGGACCAATGCAATCATCATGGCAGAATGCGCCACATCCCTTGCACATAATCATGGCCTTCAGCCGACAGTAGCACTTTGATTGGACGTCTTCCATTGCAGAGGTTTCTATGAAGGCTTGCTCAGGTGAGGTTTCACCCTGACTGTTCTGATCCAGTAGGTGACCGGCAGGTATGGCAGTGACAGTGACGGAAAAAGACATCATTCCTCCAGCAGCCGTTTCACCATCACCACTGCAGGACACAGTGGGAGAAGTTGGAGTGTCAGCCATGCTGTGCTTCAGTGCATGAGGGACAGACATGCTGATAGTGCCACCATACTGAGGTCCATTATGTGCTTTCTGAGATAAGAACGTGCGTTGGTGACAGTCACCTAACTGATATGGCTCTGTTTTACCCTGTATACTGCTGCACATATCAAGCTGCGCTCTTGAGCATGTTTCTTTGGTTCTAAGAGAAGTGTTGCCTTCGTCTTTGCTGGACAAACAACTCAGAGATGGAGATTCAGACTTTATATCAGAGCAGAGTTGGGGTGTCAAACCATCATCTGGTTTATTTATAACACATCCCTGCTGTTCCACTTTTACCCTTGGAAAATTCAGGTGTCCTTGAGAGGTGGTATGAGACCCTGCAAATGACTCCGTCTTCCCTTTCACACCCTCCTCTGCTTCGATTTTCTCCTTCTTCAGGTTGGCGAGGGCAATGCTCGTATTACTAGTTAGGTGGGGCCGTTTGCTGCTCTCGGATGCTCTACCATATGTGGAGACATTGAGGAGGTAGTGTCCTGTCATAGCTGGCTTGGATAACCTTTTCCGTCCAAAGATGCCGAGATGGACACTCTGGTCATGGCTACCCTCAAGGTGACCTAACTGACAGGACTGAAATTGGGAGGGTTGACAGTTGGAGATGGTGTTCTTCTGCTCGCATTTGTCCCTTAGCGGTTGCAGCATCTGGTCCTG